TTTATAGCGGCTAATACTATTTTTTTTCATTAGGGATGTCATGTGTTTTCATATCTCATTTTTAACTTACTAATCATTAGATAAATGTATGCAACTATTATAAGACTAGAAGAATAATAATACCGAATAATATTGATGTTGAGTTTTAAAAAAATATTTGCTTCCGGAATCACCCACCCTGCTACTAAATCGTAAAATGTTTTTAACATTTCAAGATTTCAAGACGTAAAATGCTTTCAAACATATAATTTGTACATCGAAATTTGGATATTGTTAACCGACATCATTACAAACATTTTAAACACTTATGAGTGGCACCTTTGCTTTTTCTTTCTTCTTTGTGTATATCATTTTAATTAATGGCATAAATTTGTCAAAAGTACCTTTTATCATCTAGACCCGACTTGCATCAATAAATTTGTAAGGTGACAATACGAACATGCATGAAAAACTACGCCTCCTAAAAATAACTCCAAAAGCTAATTTTAAGGTCTTTAACCATATTTTTGCATTATTAGAAGTACTGTAAAATGATTTAACAAAAATTTATTTTATAGGTTATTAATTTAATATATAGTTAGTAAATCGTTTTTTCAACCAAATTGTTCCCAAACAAGAGTATTTATTTATTATAATTTTTTTTTGTAGTTGTCTCGTAAAGCAAGAGACATATAATTAATTAAATCGTTATTTTGTACTTATAAGATTAGTAAATCTCTAAAGTTTATTTGACCAGATTGAGATAAGTTTGACTTTGCATTTATGTTAGGTTGGATGCTTATAAATTATAATTTTCAGTTAAAGTTTTATAATTATTCTACGTGGCAATTAGTTTTTTTCGCGGTGCCTAAATAAGTTACACATGTAAGTTTCTAATTGGTTAGTCTACGTGGAATGACATCGCAACCCCTGTAACACATCAACCCTTCCAAAAACGCAGAACCCTTCTTCGAATCCTCGAAATCGTCCCACGTATTGGATTCGAAGCTACATACAGTCCTCCGACCATGAAGATATTGAAAATGGTGTCAGCCATGGATCTGGTAGCATGGAGAGGCTTCGTATACACTATATTCATACTCCACTTCGTCTTCGCTTGCCAACTCCTTCTGCTCCAACCTCTCGTTTCTGCCCTAGGTACTGTTGTTTCATCTATTTTCGTATGTGTGATTTAGTGTTCTATTGATTATGAGCTCCCCCGTCAATCAGATCACAGTAAGTTTTCTGCCGTGTTCTGTTTGAGATAGATTTCAAAATGATTTAGTTATTGACATGTCCTTTGAAAGTGATTTCGTTTTCTGTATGTTAAGCATACTAATGTGGTATTTTGAGGAACGAAGATTTGAAGATTTGGATTTGGGTGTTTAGTTCAAAATTTTGAATTGATACCGTTCGATTTTGGAATTTCAAGCCCAGGATTTAGATTTAGGCTTATTGTGTCATTATTAGCTCTGAAACTGAGTTGAATTGAATGTATATTGAAGTTTGAAAGAACCTAATTTATAATTTCTGAAATCCCCCAATGGAAATGTGTGTATGAGCTCTTCAATTAGGCAGTATTCTGAAATTTCCTTTGACTGTCTTATTGTATTTTTATCGCTTGTTCTTTGACTGAAACTGCATAATGCATAATGCATACTGCAGATGGAAAATCTGGTGATACAGCTGAATTGTTTGAGAGAGTTTCACATAGTATCAAAGTTAAACATTATAGTGAGGCAATCAACGATCTTAATGCTGCCATAGAGGCTGATCCTTCACTTTCAGAAGCATATTGGCGTAGGGCTTCTGTTCTTCGTCAGTTGTGCAGGTTCTTTTTTGAGCTTTCAGTACATCATATAATATTTCTCACAAATATTGGAACTCTGTTTTCATTTCTCTCTGATAATAATAGCAATCTTTAGATCACCTCACCTAGTTATTCAATAAAAATGTAACCTTAAGAGCCCTTGTGGAATAAAATCAATCTTATCTTGCATTTTACATTGTTTAAGCTTATGGATCTTGAAATCTTGATCACTATATCTTTCTGAAAGACAGCTAAAACTAAACATAATTTCACATAGTTCCTGATTAGAAACTTATATGATTCAGGCGATTTTTGGCTAATGTAGATATGAGGAATCCGAGAAGAGCTACAAGAAGTTTCTTGAAATGAAACCTGGAAATTCAGTTGTTGAAAAGGAGCTTTCACAAATGCATCAAGCACAAAGTGCTTTAGATACAGCCAACAACCTCTTTGATTCAGGCGATTATACAAAAGCTTTGGATTTCATTGATAAAGTTGTTCTTATTTTTTCTCCAGCATGCTCACAGGTATATAAAAAATTAAAAAGTAACTATGCTTTTTTGCTTCCTCATTTCATCTTCTCCATTTCTTTATACTCACACCTGTCACATATTTTTCTTTAAATTTCAGGCTAAATTACTAAAGGTGAAGTTATTACTAGCTGCTAAGGACTATGCAGGGGTAATTTCGGAAGCAGGATATATACTTAAAGAGGATGAGGATAATCTACAGGCATTACTCCTCCGTGGTCGCGCCTATTACTATTTAGCTGATCATGATGTAGCTACAAGGTTCTTTTTTTTTCTTCATTATTATTATTTAAAATTAAAAACAAATAAAATAATATTCCAAAAGCAACTAATTACTTAATTGTTTCAGGCATTACCAGAAAGGGCTTCGCCTAGATCCAGAGCATACTGAATTAAAAAAAGCATATTTTGGGTTAAAGAATTTACTTAAAAAGACCAAAAGTGTAAGACTTTAACTTTCTATAGATCCTGGTTTGACTTTCTCACAATAACTTTTAACTTTTTTTTTTTTTTTTTTAATTTCAGGCAGAAGAGAATGAAAAGAAGGGTAAGCTGCGTGTAGCTGTGGAAGATTACAAATCTGCCCTTGCATTAGACCCTGACCACGTGGCACATAATCTACATCTTCATTTTGGGTTGTGTAAGCTTTTGGTAAGGCTTGGTAGAGGAAAAGACGCCCTAAATGCTTGCACAGAAGTCTTAACCATTGATGAAGAACATGTTGAAGCTTTGGTTCAGGTTCTTAATTTATTTAATCTCTCACTTATTAAAAATGTTATGTAATTTTACATTTTGACTAATTTTAAACTTTATTAGAGGGGTGAAGCTAAATTACTGACAGAAGATTGGGAAGGAGCTGTTGCAGATATAAAATCCGCTGCAGAAAAATCTCCTCAGGTTAGTTTTTTTTTATATATATTTTTTTACATAAAACTTATTTTATTCTAGTTGCAATAAGTTTATAAATTATTATTTTTAAAGGATATGAGCATTCGAGAGGCACTTATGAAGGCTGAAAAGGCATTGAAATTAAGTCAACGGAAGGATTGGTATAAAATTTTGGGTGTTTCAAAAACTTCATCAATATCAGAAATAAAACGAGCTTATAAAAAATTAGCATTACAATGGCATCCGGATAAAAATGTTGACAATAGAGAAGAAGCAGAGAATAAATTCAGAGAAATAGCGGCTGCATACGAGGTTGTTTCTAAAACCTTAATTTTAGTAAATGTTTTGTTTGATTGTTTAAAATTTTAATTTAATAATTTTAATTATAGGTTCTTGGTGATGATGACAAGCGTGCAAAATATGATAGTGGTGAAGATATTGAAGAGGGTATGGGTGGCGGCGGTGGTGGTGGTTTTAACCCCTTTGGTGCAGGCGGTTTTGGTGGCGGCGGTGGTGGTGGTGGTGGTTACACATTTCATTTTGAAGGTGGTTTTCCTGGCGGCGGTTATGGTGGTTTTCACATGTGATTTTTTTTACCGGTTTTGTACTAACTTAAGCCGAGTTAATAGCAAAAGATTTTCATAGGAAATTGAGTTCAAATTATGATATGATTTCTTATTTCTTTTGTTAAAATCTGGAATCAGTGATACAAAATTTTAAGTTCTTAAAAGACTGTTTATATTATTTATATTCCATATACACATTATGACAAACTTTGCTTTTACAATCAAAAAAGCTTATTATGGTCTAGGGTGTTGACTAGACTCGCTGGTTTGACCGGATACTGTAGGCTGCTGCGGCTCTGTTGTCTCCGGCGAACCACCTTGTGGCGGCTCCTCTGGTGCTGGAGGTTGGTTTGACCAGTCATGCCACCTTCCCCGCCATTTCAAGAACTCGTAAATAATTGAAGTCCCACACATTGCACCACCAAATCCAGCAAATGTAGCAAGCAAAACCGATAGAACCCCAGTCACATTGAGCTGTTAATATAGTTAAAATTGATATTATATAGTTTAATATTAACATTTAATCGGTTAATTGTGCTTTTACCTTTGAGTAGAAAACATGAGCAAAAGCAACCACAAGAGCAAACTGAACTATTGCATAGATCCATGCATATCGTCTTTTCACTAAACATAAATTGCAGAATTATTAGTTCTTGAGATTTGTTCCCTAATATGAAAAAAAAAAAAAAAAAAGGATTTGTGGTAGTGTAAAAAGATTGGATCGATGTCTATAAAATATATTTAAGTTTTATTCTTTCTTTCTTCTTTTGTTTATAGTGTAGAAAGGTTTTAGTGTAATTTGGGATGACTTGAGTTAGTTTTTATGATTGTAATAATTTGTCATATGATGAAGTTTTTTTCTTTAGAGGCTTATGGTTTTTCTCCGGTTTTGTGTGAAAGTGATGAAAATACCCATTGTTGTTGATGTCATTGATGCGAGGAGACCCAATATGCAAGAAAAAGGCAGAGATATAGCAATTGCACCAGATCCCATTTTGTTAACCTTTTACAAAAACACCAATATCAGAAACACAAATTTATCCTTCAAAAAGATTCAAGATTTAGGGTTCTTAAATCTTGACATACCAAAAGTTGTTCCAAGAAGCAAAAGTAAGCAAGCATGCTCACAATCACAAGAACAGGCACATCCTGCCACACCCTGATAAAAAGGAAAAAAAAAAAAAAAAAAAAAAAAAAACACTTTGCAAAATTACTTATATGCCCATGAATCAAATATTTACCATGTAAAAACAAGAAAATGTTACCTGTATCGAACTCCTTCATACTCATTCATACCTCCATTTCCATTCAAACCATGGCTTTGAGATCTTTGAATTCTTAAAAGAGTTACAGGCAGATTCTTGACTTCTTGCTTACAAACTTCACAAGTTTTATTCCCTTTGATGCTAAACCATTTTATAGCACATTCTTTATGAGCCAAAGCTAATTCCCCTTTGCAGTTGCACTCCATTTTTAGGGTATCATCAACACCTTCTTGTAGTTCAACCATACAGATTCTACAAACAGCTTCTTCTTCTCTGATATCCTCACCCTTTCGTTCATCACCATTTCCATCTAAACAAAACGAATCACCCAAATTGGACACAACAAATAGTTGAACGATGGATTTTAACCTAAACCCTAATTGATTTATGAAGGTTACCAGGTTCAACTGTAGGATCGACATTTATGGTGAGATGAGTTCCTTGTGAAACTTTTGTTGTAGTTGGAATTATCCGAAACACTCCACCTAAAGACTCTATCTGTGTGATACTTTCATCTTTAATCAAAGCAGGAACAGAATTTGAACGATGCATAGCCCGATCGATCAAAACTTTCTGTAAAACATTGAATCCAACATGTTTGATATGAAAAGTTTAAAACAGATGATAACATTACATAATGTATAATGTATTATGTATTATGTATGAGCTCCAAAAATCAAGAAAGACTTACTTCTATGCTGTTTCTACCATGAACAGACTCCGGATTTGAGTGGGTGATTGGAGTTACGGGTAGAGATGATGTTCTATTCATTCTTGGGGTGAATAGTTTTGTAAAAGATAAATTTCTTGACATTTTTACCCTTCCTCTCATCTCTGATGGTGAGCCACCAAGGGCTAGGATTGCAGCCTTTTCGATCTCTGAAGTTCTGTTTTTGAATTTGAAACTTATTTTAGGAAGGAGGGATTTGATGGATTTACCTCTGGATGGTGAAGGACTTGATGATGATTCATTGAGTTTGGTATAAACGTAATTAGGGCTAGGCATTGGGGAAAAGTTTACTCGTTTTGGAGTTCTTTGTGGTGTTAATGGCGTGTTCATGCTGACATCATCTTCGATAGAGGTGTTATTATATGTTCTTTCTGGTATCTCCAAGATGAGGTGTTGTGGTTTTGAATGTTGATTGGATGCATCCACTTCGGTTTTTTCATTTGTTGTAGTAACTTCTATTATTTCACTCGTTTGTTCAACCTGCCATTGTTTAGAAGCGTTCATGTTTGAGTATTTAATTTTAAACTTCAGTGTTCTCCATGTAGGGATGAACGACATCAATATTAATTCGGTTTTAGAAGCTAAAAATGATGGGGAGTTTTAAAAAAAAAAATGAACTTGGAGTATGAAAAAAGTCTGACGTTTGACTTTCGAAAGTCAACCATACGCCATTGTTCTCATTAAGCAGCAAGGATGTCACGATGAAATCAGTCTACATCCAGATTCAAAATTCTTAATTCAATAATTATAATGATAATGATCTTGGGTTAGTTAAATCTCTGATTAAAGAGCCAAAAAAACAAGGTTTGGTAGCTAAATAGTTCATATGTCTGATTTACTATGCAATATGTTGGCGAATTTGGTAACGAATCTTAGAACAGAAATCTGGAAGACAAGATAGATGGTTTTTTATTTTTTTTAGTAGAGTCTAATAATAGAATTCTGTAATTCTTATATTAACACAAATTCACTAGAAACTAAAAAACATATAATCGTTGCATCAACCCAAATTCCACCAAAACTTGCATAAGTTTGCTCAGATTCAGACACCAGAATTTTACATCAAAACGTAACATGTGTATGAACGATTGTTCAGAAAATTCTAAAATAAAATCAGAAAGAAAGAAAATACTCCCAAAAAACATGTAATTGGCTGGGCGACTTACACTATGTGTGTGAGAAACAGTAAGAACCAACAGAAAGATGCTGTTTTTGTAGACGAATTTTCAAGAAACATTTCAAAGATCTGAAAAAACCCAATTCCCAAAACATAAAATCTTGCAGCGATACAAATTATCGTCATCACGTCTCGTATTAAAGGCATTGCCTGACTAAGTAAGTCCATGTGTCTGTGATTACGTGAGACACCCACCAAAATTTACATATAAAGAAACCATCTTTATCAATAATTTTGCACAATTTCAGAAAGAAAAAAAAAATCCCCCGATCACAAGAAGCAATTTCGTCAACTTATTTCACAAGTATGCTTAGTGTGTGCGTATGAGAGAGAGAAAGAGATTGCATTTGAAATACCTTATGAATCAGAAGAGGTGGAAGATCAAGTGAGATGCTATTGAGAGCTTCTTTATCAGTTCTGGCGTTAGCCATGGATGAATGATTTGTCTTCAGAGGCTTGAATGTGTCAATGATATATAATATGTACAGAAAATGTATGGGAAAATACACACAAACCCTGTAAAAACCCCAAAAAAAATTATTTAAGAAATTAAGAGAAGGGTGAGTGGGGTTGGATAATTGTGAGACACCAACAACTTCGTCCTCGTACCAGTGTACCACGGCAGGCTCAACCATAAAATATTTCCCAACACGACTGATACTGAGACCTTATTCTTTTGACTGACCTACAAAAGATATCCCCAAACATATGCTTAACTTACAATTTTTGCATCTAAACTTTTTTCTTATTCATATTTGTTACAAAATCAGATTAACTTTTTTTTTTTTCCAAATATCTAAACGATAATGAAAATGGCACAGAAGTCCTTAAGTTTATCATTTTTAAGTATTTACCACAATATTGATTTTTTTGCATAAAAGCTTGAAACTTACAAAATTGTTTTTTTTTTTATCAAATATGACATATTAATGACGTACGCCTTCTCCAAGCTGGTTACACGCTATTCAAGTGTTTGGTTACGTGGCACCGACTCAAATTTTTGGCTAACACGGCACGTTAGCCAAACTCGCAACCTTCCATATACAATACCAAAGCATTTACCATTGAAATGCATCATTTTTTGCATAATAAGCCAAATAATCAATTAAGTTGCTTAATTATAGTAGTTTTGCTTATTCTATTAGTTGGATTGAATAAGCTTAAAAAACATTATCTTACAATATACATATTTAAAGGAGGGTTGCAATCATTAAGAAAACAAGCAAACATAATCACAAACCAAAATCCTCTTCCCCTCCCCCCTCCCCCCTCTTCCCGTCCCTCTTCCCACACTCGGAGGCACGCCCTTCTCCTCCGTGTTAGGTGAACGAACCAAAAACAAGCAAAACTGAAGCTAGCTTGAGAAGTTGAAATCCTAGCAGCTCTCTAGAATATTTGCTTTTATGGATATATGTAACGGTAATCAATCATGATTCTAAATTCCTATACCAAATCAACCCTACATATCATCAGTATAATCCAATAATATCACTTAGTTGGGTTAGTTGGTTATTAGCAAAGTTCTAAATAACGTAAGGCGTGACTTGACGGCAATGTCAAGCCTCAAACTTTTTTGAGTTGTGGCAAACTATGTCGTTTATAAAGCGTGACGTAAGGCGGCAATTTTGTATATAATTAATATATATATATATATATATATATATATATATATATATATATACTACTATTATTCATTTTTATATACATATGTGACTTAAGACGACATTTTGTCAAAGCTTGGCGGCAAGTATAAGTATTGGAGCCACAACGAGGTTTTTAGAACATTGGTTATTAGTAGTCTAATTAGATCCTTTTTGTGTTTTGAAAAAAGTTATTTCCATTACATTTA